GGTTAAAAGACTATGTGACAAAGATGTGTTGTACATGCAAGAATTTAATTATATTTTTCAAACGGCATTTTAACTTACATCAAGCCTAAAAGCTCCAACTACCATCTCTCTCAGCTGATCTAGACAGTGATTTATTCTTTCCCTTCTCTTTCTCTCAATGAGGGGTTTCCGCAGCTGAAAAGACCAAAAGTCAGAAAACAAAAGTCTATGCTTTTCATAACAGGCCTAAGAACATTTTATAGTGATATTATTGAATACCTTTCTCTCCTCTTTGGCGCTGATGTGCCTTTGGCCTGCATTTTGCTGGAGGTTGGTAGCAGTCATCTCCAGTGGCTTCTGAGCAGTACAGACTGAGTTTCACTCACTCCTGTCTGAGTGTTGGGTGTTTCTAAGGCCCTCCGCGCTGTGCACGCCCTATATTTATAGGAGGACATTAGCATCTCAATGCACAAGCTCTTTGCCTGAGATATTTTCTCACACGCTCGCTCCTATCACTCACAAATGACAGGTCACTGCCTCTATTCAATGCATGAGCCCCCAAACACACACACACATAGGCCTACTCAAAGCAAACAACAGATGTCCAGCCTAGAGGTGTTCTGCACACAGAAACGACACGTTTTGTGTGTCACGTGAAAACTCAGGATGGTTTTCCGCGGTGGCTCGGCATTCCCAGGATTTCATTAGAGTGTTCTGTTGCAGTCAACCACCTGAGACCAAATGCGTATTCACGCCCTGTCCTTAATAGACCTAAGCAAAACCAAATCCAATCCCAAAGGTATACAGAGCCAGAACTCTGAAACAAATGATAGAGAAATTTTGATTTGCCAAAAAAAAAACACTACTTAAAATGTGTAAAATTACATAATATAAAACATGAGACATTAATACATGCATTAATTAATGTTGTCTTAAAACATTTAAGTTAAAGAAGGTTAAAGAAGTCTTAAGAAGCTTTTAGAAAAGAGTAGTAAGCTAACTAGGCCATAAGTTGCATCACTTCGCCCTCCAGCAGTGAATGTGAGCAGATGTCAGAGTGCTCTCGGCCACGGGCAGATGTCTGTGAATTAATCTCTGATTTGTTTGACTAGAGCCACGCGACTGCCAGCAGAGCATACAGACGTGGGAAACTCTACCAGACAAAACCGCTCATTGATCCAAGACTAATGAGAGTGACCCGGTGCGGGGTGGAGGGGGAAGCGAATTGGGAAGTGCCCAGTGCAGTACTGTAGGCAGGTGCACTCTGTTTTCTCTCCGCAGCAAGTGTACATCGACAGAGGCAGGTTAACGCAGCAGAGCATTTGCCATTGCTATTTTAGAATGCTAAATATGATTTGTTACAAGCGTCATATGCGCATTGTATAAGCAAAGCAAATCTCTTACATTTGAACTCGCTCTCACATTTTGAGAGAGCCATTCTATCATAATTGTGCAATTCTGTTGTATTTTGTAGATGCAGCTTGCATAGTTTTATTGTAAATTACAACATTTTCATTCATTTCAACAACTTTACCGTAAACACAGTCTTTGGCTGCATTGGCTCCTTGGCTTTTTTTTTTTTTTTTCACTGAAACGCCCCCAACTCGGAGATAGGCAGATAGGCAGAGAAATCTTTAATTAAGGTAAACTGATGTTTTGTTGGTTATGTGTGATATATTTGTCAAACTGTGTGAGATATTTTCAATAATCAAGATTTTGCATTGTCATGGGAAAAAAATATTTAGTGCACTTACATGGTCGACTAGTTATGGAATAGCCTACATATCCTGTCACAGCATTGTGTTTAAGTGATGAAAGACCAGATCATTTAACAAAATTAAACAGGAAAAAAGTATAACAAGGTTAAAAAATGATGGCCCCCACACTCGTAATGATACCTGCAGAAACTATATGTTTGGTCCCCGCTACAGGTTTTCAGAATGCATGTGATTCAGAATATTGCTTGGTAGAGGGGTTAGAAGTGAATGAAGGTGCTCTACCTGGAGGCTTTATTGTGTCTTCAGGTCTGGTTACGAGGGAGGTTCAGATTTCATTAGGCCTATATCCAGAAGAAGCTGTGATTTTTAGACAGGAGGCAGGATCTTTTCTTTTCCGTAGCGTTTTTACAAAATTTTACAGTTAAAATTACACTTATTTTTTACAGTGTAATTTTTATTTCGAATCTCCCTTTTTGGGGAGTCAGCAAAAGTTAAAGCATTATTTAATTATTACGTTGATGTGTTTGCTTTCAGTGATAATGACCTAGGCTGCACTGCAGTTATACAGCTTGAGATAACAGTCACTGATGATTTCCCGGTTTGTCAGCGATATCATCATCTTTCCCCAAGCAAGTATGAAGAGGTGAAGAGTCATATTACGCAACCTTTGGAGTAGGGCATTAGTGAGAGTTGTAGCCCTTATCTCTCACCACTATTGTTAAAAAAATGGCAACATGCCCATGGATCTCACTAGTGGTTATAATCAAGTGGAGGTTGCTGAGAATTTTTGTATTGTGCTTTTTGTACTCCATTTTGGCGCTATCGTATGCCATTTGGACTGTGCAATGGTTCAGGGACATTTCAGCATCTAATGGAAAAGATTCTAGGTGATCAGCATTTTCAGTCATTGCTTTTATATCTAGATGGTGTGGTTGTGTTTTCATCATCTTTTGAACATCTTAGTTGTCTTAGTTTAGCGCTTTCCTGTTTCCAGGAGTGTAGTCTAAAAGTAAAATGGAGTAAATGTAGAGCAGTATTTCTTAACTCTGGTCCTGGGTTTTGGCTAGAAGGGATACAGCTATGGCCGGAAACTAAAAATACATTACATTTTCTACCTATTAGATTGTTTTATTAACGTCTACACCTACCCCCAACCTAAACCTACCCCTTACAATAATGCAAAAAACAGTAATTATTGTTGTACAGTGTGACAAAAACTATGCTATATTTATATGCGCATGCCCAGTAGCCACAGCTGTATCCCTTCTAGCCTTAGCCTTAACTTTGGTCCTGGGGACCCACAGCTCTGCACATGTTGTATGTCTTCTTATTTAACACACCTGGTTCATATCATCAGCTCATTAGGAGAGCACTTCATGAACTGGGCTGTGTTTCCCAAAAGCATTGTAAGCCTAAGTTGATCATAGCTCCATTGGTTTCACTTAAGCACTTATGCTTTTGGGAAATGCAGCCCTGAATGTGTCAGATAAGAGACACATACAAAATGTGCAGAGAGAGTTAGGTTCCTAGGACCAGAGTTGAGAACCACTGGTGTAGCACATTATAAACATATTTCATGTCCAATTTAAAATTATTACAGTTAGTAAGCTAATGTGAAAAGCATGTCTCACCTGTGCAAACACAATCAACCAAAATGTTCATTGTCTTAAATAGTATATTAAACTCACACAAGCGCTCAATGA